TTTTTTTCTATTCGTTGATGGTGACTCTTAACTTTGACAATATTTACCACGAATAGCACATCATGCACGCAACGCGATTCTGAAAACTCGTTAGATACTCTGTTATATGTAATATTATAATATATGCTGTTATATGCCCTTATGAAAATACATGACTGTTGCTTTAAATACTATATACACGTGATATTCTGATTAATCTGCAGCGTCGGGGAATGACAAAAGTTGGGCAAGTAATATATAAAAAATCAATCTCTGAACAGCCTTACAAGTTCTAATGAACCATAATGATGTTTTCTTTTTCTTTTTTTTTTTTTTTGCCGTTCAGCGTAAAATTCCTGGGGCCGTAAACTGCACTAGAGCCGCGAACGGAGTTAAATCCCGGTCTTTTTTGCGTCCGATGGAAACGACCGATACCGCGTATNTTTTTTTTTTTTTTTTTTTTTTTTTTTTTTTTTTTTTTTAAAGCTCACCAATGCCTATTGTAATATATATATAAGTAGCGGCACTGTCTCTTACAATACACACACACAGGGGCACGTCTATTGGCAACTGTATACATATATATATATCAACAAATTATACTTACACGAGCTAGTGTCTCACGAGTGGAGGGCTTCCTCTTTTATTTGGGCAGTGATTGGTACACAACGTACAAGTCGGTACAAGTATAATGAATCCCCCGCGCCCTCCCGTTCACGCTGAGAATTCACGATGTTATCGCGACACGAGCGTATCAGTATACGTATAATGTATACAAGCATACATAAATAGCGCTTGACAAATCATCGGCGCTAATTTATTATGTTCGGGCCCAATGAACGAAACTCTCTCCCATTCACACGTATACACACGTGGTGGTGGAGCGCGCGAGAGAGCCGTGATTGGTACAGCGCGTAAAATGACTTGATTTACTTATCACACGTTAACGCGTAATCGGACATATAATTATACGTAACGCGTAATAAATAATAATTATACAAGTAATACCAAACGTGAGCTAACTATACTATTATAACGTAATATATGACGTTTCTCTCCTATATACCGTTCATTGACACATTAACTTCTACCTCGCGTTACAATGTATATCGTGTTTGAGCGTTTACGAGTGATTGGCTCATCAGGTATATCTATCATGGCTTACGAGGCATCACGCGATAATAGCTATACGATCATACGGCAGATAATACATATGTACATATAGGTATTCTCAGTTCAAGATATTACTACGTTGTTGATGATTGTTAAAATAATGAAGGAATAAGGTGTAAGGTAAGTTGTACCTGTGTGACATTGTTCTCACACCTGAAACATAATTGTACTACCATTCAATACCGAGTACGTGTTGTACCTATGTACATGAGTATTATGTTCAGTCTGATGATGCGCTCTTACCTAATCTGGAAAAACCAAATGTGGAAAAAAACAGCAACAAATGAAAAAAAAAAAAAAAAAAAAAAAAGTCATGCCGGATGTCTACATATTAATTGTACGTTCTGCTTGTACCTCTAAGTAAACATGCACGCAGTGCACAAGTGCAATGTAAATAGATACTATAGGTTGTACATTCGTTGGTAAAAAAAAGGAGATAATATGAATTGATAGATATCATTGTAATCTATTCGCACGAGTAGATAAGCCGTTTTGAGCTTGCAGTAAGCGTATGCATGTATACGTGCCTATAAACTTGTACATTTAAAAAAAAAAAAAAAAAAAAATTACAAATTGCGCTAATAAGTACACGCGTTTGTATAGGTTATACACGGGTCGATGCAAGTGTGCCCTATTCAGTACAACTCATGCCAATATACAGCACGCCTTGTCGTCGCGTTGCTTTTCTTTTTCACCGGCTAATTATTTCCCTCGCATGCATGCATCTTATTACCCACCTTACCTTTTTGTTCATTCGAGCCGTGCTGTACGCACGCAGGGGACCGAATCACGCAAAAATAATTAGTCTCGTATTAGTTTTTTTTTTTTTTTTTTTTTTTTTTTTTTTTTTTTTTTCCAACAAATGGATACACAATTATGTGAGTTGTATATAAAGCTGCATTGCGAGAATAATCGATTTCCCGGAAACTCAACTTTTGCAAAAGAGTATATAAAAGGCGGTGTATCGGTTTGCGTGGGATGTGACACGGCGGATAATGAACAGCATCCCAATAAATGAGCGACCGCGTGATATTACAGGTACTTTTTTCATTAAATATGAAATAATTATTGTGTGTCACAACACTTGGGTACTTTTTCCCCTCTCTTGCTTGCTGCTCGGTTCCCATATTTCTTGTTTCAATCGGCTAAAAGAGACACACCACTTCCGGCCTCACACCTTACGCTCCATCGCCGTGTGTTATATAGCTACATCCACATTTTATACTTGAGTAGTGCGGTTGGCTTGTGGAATATAAATAATTTGACCTCACGCCGTGCGAATTTTAATCAGCGCCGTGCTCTTGCTCGTTCCGAAGATTTTGTTCATTATTTTAGCATCGGTGCTCCTGGATTCGAAATGCCTGTGGTGTATATAAAATTAGGATTCAAATATGGGATACGCGATGCCGTGCATAAATTTAATGAATATGTGGTGAAAAGGCGCGGTGTTACCCTACACATTTATATACAAAACAACCTACACGTGCGTCCCGTTACTCGCGCCGCCGACACCTTCCTTCTTTCCTTGACACTCGAAATTAATGAATAAACGAGCGTATAACATATACGTATATACACACGCACACATTATTAATGAACACAGGTACATATGTATATAATATCTTGTGCAGTGGAAAGAAAAAATAACCTTCAGAAATGACGCTCATCACGAAAGTACCTAGGTATATACAAGAGAAAGACATTAAAGCCTACCCTTTGTTTTCTCTTCTCTGCTGAAACGTGCTAGCTATCGTTTCTTATACGGCAAACACCAGCTGCTTTAAAATTGCTCGATCCGTTTGATGATGGCAATGATAACAATGTAACGCATGCACGCACGAACATTTATTTCTCTCACATGATTAAATTTAAAAAACTAACGGAAAGAATTGAAAAAAAAGAAAAAAGAAAAGTATCAGTATCAAAAACAAGCAAAGTGTAAAAAAGGAGAGAGAGAGAGAGAGAGGGACAGAGTTAGATTAGATAGCGAAAACGAAAAAGAGGCGAGTCCTGTGTAGAAGAGAGACAAGAAGAATGCCGGAGAGTCTCGCACGTGGATATTTTTAGTGTACTGTATGTTGTACGAAAATAGCGGCATTTCTCGGCATGTGAAGACATTTTGACTACATAGCATGTACGTGTGTGTATAGATAGGGTACTTTGACAGACGAATCGGAAAGTCATTACCATCGGTGGTGATTTAAAATAACAATCAATTCGTTATATACTTGTAAACATTTTTAATCTACGCACTGCGCATACCTACACCTGATGGGCAAAGTAGCGAAACAAAAAACAGTCAACGTTCGATTTTCTGAAAAAATCGCAAACGTTTTGCTTTCATATTATGGTATTGGTATATATACAATTTGAAAACTCATTTAATACATACAGACATTAAATAGCCACGTAAAAATCAATGTATACATTAATCGAGATCACGATTTATAATGGGAGCGCGGTTTTCGATTTAACTATAAGCTGTAGCTCCGATGATGCATCATACTGGCACTTTTCCAAATGCTGAATTTTCAAATCCACTGTAAGATAGGTAAGTGTGTGTAATATACATCTGCTCTCTGATAAAGGTGTCTCGGGCGTATAGCATTGCCTAATGTCAAGGTAACAACCGCGCGGCGTGTATACGCGCAAAAATACGTAAACACATACACACAAAGATTGAAGCGACAACCCGGTATTTCTTACTAATAATAATAGTGATGCTCGATTGGTTTTACAAGTACTTTATTTATTAGAAGTAAAGTAATAATAATAATAATAATAATAATAATAATAGTTCACTCGAGTTGCAGTAAATTTTCCCTTGACTATTGTGTTTGCTACCCTGTACATCTGAAAAGGTAATAGGTATACCATGCTTGATTGATTTCTTAAGTAAGTACCTATATATGTATACTAATGGATGCGCAATGTTGATACATCCAGTACCTAAGTATCGGATCCAAAAGGAGAATCGAACGTGAAATGGAGACTTGACATGATTCGATATTGCCGCACAAGTTGGAGATATTCGAATCGTGTATTTTTTATGTTTAATCTCTTTTCTCATGCAAATGATGACATTTGTCACGATGAAAATTCCAACAAAGTTTTAACAATACATTTGGTGAATTGTGCCGTGCCCGTACTTAAGCGAAGGTTGTTACATACGACTTTGCAGTCGTGCTTTTTATGGATGCCTTTCACGGCGCCAATGGCTACACATACTTAATATAGGGTACGTGTATCATCTAATATTACTACTGCTTAGTCGAGAACAAATTTACGTTTTGTATAGTAAGAAACGGTATCACATACTATACATAAGTATATTATATTGAGCAAAAAAATTATGCCATCAGTTTCTTTCTTTCTTTTTTCTACTCACTTTAAACATATATACGCATTTCACCTACTTTAAGTTCTGTTAAAAGCGCAACGCGAGAGTAAGTATAGGTAATTTAAAAAGCTTGTGCTATATAGACAACGAGGGAAAAAGGGGGTGGAGTAGTAAAGGCGATCTGCAGAAAAGCCAGACAAATAAAAGGTGCCACGGAGAGAGAGAGGTGTAGATATAAGTATACGATGAACAACAAGGATCGATTTTTTCGGTGACAGGAGGCACACGGTAAAAAAAGAAGCGGAGGCGGAGGGAAGGACAATTGAAAAAAAAACAAAAAAACGAAAAAAAAAAAAACAGGAGCGTAAAATGGCTGAAGTTCCTTGCAAGCTCCCCGCAGAGGATGAAAGCTTATATTGTATTATAAGCGGAGTGCTGTATATCTGTTGAAGGAAAGGGGCTGGTTCCGATGGGATATAGATCATCATCATAAGTAGGTTATAGGTACCTGTTTGCCAGTACGGGGCAGAGTCTCGACATTGGTTCCGGCAACGACCGGCGCCTTTTCCATCGGACCGCCGTTCTGCTGGCTGACCTCGAGGCCGCCCTGCTCGTTGTTGTTCGGCGGCCGATGTTCGTTGTTGTTGCCGCCGCCGCCCCCACTCGAGGTTAGGTTGGCGGCGTTGTTATTGTTATTGTTGTTGTTGTTGTTGTTGTTCCCAGTGGTAGTGGTATTATTAGCGTTGGGAGCCGCGGTAGCGGCCTTCCTCTCCTTCCCGGTCATCCTGGACCCGGCCCACCCTGCAGTACTAGCTGCGGCTGCCGCTCTTGAGGGCACAGCTCGGCCACCCTTTCGCCCCGATCAATCTACGCGCTGCTCCTGCTTCCTCTCTCTCTCTCTTTCGCTTATCTTTCCTCTCCCTCTGTGCAACTCGACTCTATATAATATGTATATACACTTGTATGCGTTTGGATGCACTGTGTATATGATATTATATATGGGCGACAAGCCAACGAGGGCAACTATAGCAAGGGCACGCAGGGGGAAGGCATGTCTCTCGGGCACGGGGTCTTGTCGTTCACTGATGCTCCAGCTCTTTTGTTATTTATTTATTTATTTATTTATTGTTAACACGCTATGTTACACGCCGTTGGGAAGAAAAAAAAAAAAAAAAAAATGAGTGAACGGCTCCAGTAAAGTATAAGCAGCAGAGCCAGCTGTGGTGTCAGCGTCGGTGCAGACGCCCCAGTTGTAATGTAGTTTTATATCGATGCGGCGGCGGGGCGGCAGTGACGGTGGGGGACGAAGACGCGCGAGAGAGCCTTTTGCCTTGATTGCTGGCTGGCTGTTGGGTACTTTGGTGTGCTGCGGCAGCGACCACCCCCGATGCTCCTGATAGGCAGGTATACGATGTACAAAAAGTACCCGGTGACCGTCGATCACTGCAAGTTAGGCCTACGCGTCAGAGGCACTTTTGCGTCTAAAGAATCTATTTATTTGGGCCTACTATTATTATTTTTCTTGTTGTTGCTGCTGTAATTGTTCACTTGTTCACACTCACGCTGCGAGGACGTCGAGAACGTGAGAGATGAAGATCGCGTCCGAACTGAATAAGTGAATACGAGCTCCGAATTTTGGAGTTCGGAGTCACCATCCATATATATGTATACCTAATACACACGCCTCAAATCTCGTCTTCTGCTTGTGTTATTAGTTGCAGCGACGATAACTGCACGGAATAACTTTTGGCTTTAAGTATATATTTGCTGTTATTGTTACTCCGTTTTTTTTTAATTTTTTTTTTATTTATAAATGCAATGTACATCCGCACGTAATGCAGCAATACAACAAAAACTGGCCCTGGTCTTGTGCCGAAAGTGGGCCCTTTAAAACTTTCTTTGCCTTATTGCGACGATAAAAATAAAGGGGGAAAATATGAAAACACAATCGCGTAGAATTGGAAGCACTACTGTCCGGAGTGCCCACTCACCACTCGTATATGAGAACCAGTCCTGCACAAAGTCTGCAGGCCTGACCGAAGACCGAACAAAACTGCCTAGTGCCTTAGTGCCTACTACCGCGAGCCGCGACGCTTTACGCTGTACAATACGACTGATATACGAGCTTCAAAAGATCCGAGGCGACATCTGCCTGAGGCGACCAGGTACATCCGTACATACATACGTGGTGCATTCGTATGATAAAATGATGGTAAACGGTAAACGCATTCGCTTTACTTTATTATATATCTATATGATACACTACTGGAGCTGTAAAAACTGGTACCTTTAGTTTTGTATCGTCATCCTTGAAGAAAGTTGAAAGGAATGATTCGAAGGTAAGAAGAGAGGATGCGTCGGCTCTAAAATTGTACAATTGTAGGTACAGTGATTTTAATGTCAAGAGCTGCATCGTCCTACCTTAAAAATGTATTCCTGATAGCGAAACAGTTCTTTTTTTTTAGCGCAGAACTACTTATATTTGTCCCCTAAAAGTTTGGGCTGTCTAGCTCTTTTATAATGTATGTACAACCAAACTGTCTCCTCTTTAGTCCAGAGCCAGTTATCCCCTTTTCTTTCAACTGCTAATACCTATATACCTAGTAGGTATTAGGGCTGACCCGAATTTGTATAAATGCCTTAGGTATGTAACGAACTATAATGCAATATCTATAGAAACAATTACTAAAAATGAAAGTTATACGCGATTCCTACAAAATTATTTCGGATGATTAATTAATACACACATTTAACAAAGAACGTAAAATTAATGTTGCATTAATTTAGATAATTCTGTTCATACAATATATTGTGAGTTTCTATTATCCTAGAAAACGAAATACTGTTAATGTTGTTGTACAATATAGATCATGGAGTAGCTTTTTAATCAAAAAACGTAATGAATCAAAAAATAATAGTAGTAAAGTGTAGGCCCCTCTGAATCAAAAAATTTCATAAAAAATTATTGCTCATTTTTGGTTTATTAGGCTTATCATTATAACAATCAGTAAATTATTGTACATACAGCTGCACTGTGTATACTTAAAGCTAAAAACTGAAACCAAACGTTTAGTTAAATTTCTTTAAGAGCTTCATCCAAATGTTTTCCTAGTGATATTTTGTTTCAATGTTAGATATAAATTTGATTAAAATGGATTGATGTATAAAACTTCTAAAAATATTTAAATAAATAAGTATACGGTTTGAATGTGTTAAAATTCCTCAGTACAAGACATTCAGCTATTTTTTCTTTAGTCTTAATAAAATAGGAACTAATAAAAAATAATTATACTTTGATAATAGTTTGTGACGATGTTAAGGCAGCATCTCATGCATTAAAATATACGTTAAATAAATTTAAAAAATAGCCGATTTTGTTTTATTTACAAACAATACGCGAAGCAGGTGATTTTTCAGTAATGGTTGATGGTGGATGTAATATCACATGAGTGGAAAATTGCCGACGCACACGTGAAATATACATATCTATACCGTTTTTGACACAAGTGTGTGAAGTTTAATACATTACATTAACAAAATGTCGACATTATACTTAGTCTTAAACATACTTTATTGAAAATGTTTCACTTATTAGGCAAGTAATGTACTTAAAAGGCAGCCCGGGTAGTGGTGTACAAAGAGGAAAACCTCTTAACGTGAAAAAGGCAACCATAAAGAAAAACGATATTCTAAAATATCTTATCAACTTTGGTGATTTTATAAAACTTATAAAAAAAAAAAAATTATAACACAATGATTTGATACTATGTGACATAGATAAAGAAACTCTTTCTTTACGCCAACGGCAGTGAATAAGTATATTAGGTGTAAGCTGTCTGATGTGCTTTTTAGGCTTTTTGCACATAGTATTCAAACAAAAGATGAACTTATGTTATCAAAAATTTTGACTACACATATCATTTCAGATCTTACAAACTTGCAAAAATATATTTTATAGATAACTTTAATCCAGCTTTATTATTTCTAATATTAATCAACATTTTCGGTGATTGTACAAAAATATTTACAAATGCTTATAAATTTGTTGTAATGCGTTTGAAATAATAATAAAAAATGGCTGAAAAGAGCAAAATACAATAGAAGTTTTCATTATTTTAATTTTTACCCTCTTTTCATTTTATTTTTACTGGTTTAATTTTTATTCTCAAATAGAATTATGATCAACATATGAAAAAAAATCAGTATAAATAAACAAAACGCAAAGATAATTTCATCATTTCTACAAAAACTAATAATAATTGATGCTGTTTGGAATTGGATTTCTCAAATTTTATGCAAATGTATCAAAAATAAAACTTAATTATGAAAAAAAATATAACAAAATTTTTTACAACTGCCTATTGTACAAATAAAGAAAACATTTTGTTTCCTTCAAACTCGCATATTTTGCTTTGATTAGTTTTGTTTTTCAGAAAATACAGAGGTATCACTAGCCTTATAGTTTAAATCAGTGTAATCAATAGAATCGTCAAGTTCCTCCTTTTCATTTCCCAATTTTTCTTGACCATTCAAACACCTATTACATTTTCCACAAATTTCTGCATGCAAGTGAAAGCTCAAATGCTTTTGAAATTGTCTTAGTTTCATTTTTTTTAAACAAACGGTACATTTTACAACCTCATTCACATTAGAATCGTGTGTATATTGAATATGTTTCTTTAAAAGTACCTTTTGAGAGAATGTCTTTTTGCAAACATGACACGGATGTCCTAAGCCATCGTGATAAGCTTCATGTCTGTATAAATGATCAATATGCAGAAGCTTATTGCAAATTCTACACAATGAAAATCCATGTTCTATATTAAAATGTGCTTTTCTTTGATGTTGGTTATCAAATTTCATATCACATTTAAAACATTGAAAGGTCGTTGAATCTAAATTATGGGTTTTCATGTGCTTGTCAAATGGTTCGCCAAGATCTACCAAAGCTTTACATTCAATACACTGAGTTTGAATTATCGGCTCAATAAACAATTTTCCTTCAACCACTTTGCATTCATGACCAATGTATTTTTCTATTCGATCAAAATTAGTCAAGCAGTAAGCGCATCTCGGTAAAAGCGGATGATATCGCCTAACGTGTATGTTCAAGTATTTAAAATTTTTAAAATTTTTACCACATGGACAGTTGCTTTTTATATTATGTAACATTTTGGATGTGTGATTCATTGATGGATTTTCGTAACCAGATCCTTCATTCAATGGCTTTTCATTTGATAATATTTGTCTGGAATAAAATTTAACAGAATAAAATTTTGTATACTCTATAAGCGTAAATTTTTGCAATCAGAAAATTATACGTTACTGGCAAAGGTTTGTCAATGATGGAATATTATCGCTATCTTCATTTGTAATTAAACCATTGACATTTTTCTCCTTGAAACTTTTTGGTATTACTGTAAAACAAATAATCATTATTATTTAAATTTAATTATTAAAAAGGAGCCAATTTACACTAGCATATCTCTTGAGTTACCTTTAACCGAGTCTTCCCCGTCCTCAATATCAACATCTTCGTCATCTTCTGCAACTTGAATTCTTAAAATGCTGTGACTCTTGCTGTACTTTGATAGTACATCTAAATTATTCGCCCTATGACCATTGTAGTCTACAGAAACCATTCCAGAATCATTTGACGACGCATCGCTATCCTTAGAGTTTCTAAAGTCTTTGTAATTATCTTCAGAGGACATATTACTGGGTACAACTTCATATGAGTCGTTCTTATTTTTTTTAATTTTTATACTTATGCTAATACCAGAATCAGCATCATTGTTTGAATTGTTAGAATAAGACTTGTCAGTTTTGCTCGTCTCAATCGTTCCCTTGCATTTAACTTTGTGCAAATAAAGCGTATGATAATTTCTAAACAGCCTGCCACATTCACATTTTGTTTGTTCCATGTTAAAATCTTCAGAAACCTCAGAGGATCCTTCATTTGTCTTTCCAGGATCTTCATGCTCAGATGAACCATCAGTTGTTGGTGTTATTACTTCTCTCTGATTATTGCTTGTAACGTTTTGGAGCGGTTGATTAACTGTTTTGGCCAACGTACGAAGAGGAGAATTAAAAAATCGACATTTTGAGGGATCAAAGTTTTGAGGAGTTTCACCTCTTATTCGATGAAGACTTTTGTGGTAGGTAAAGGTTTTTAAATTTTTATAGATGCCTAGACAAACGTTGCACTTGAAAGGACCTCTCTGAAATGGCTTAAGACTTTTATCTATCAGCATATGTTTTTTCTTCTTAATTGTCCAGCAAGTTTTATTTCTTTTCTTTTTCTTTATAGGTACTTCAGTAGAGTTATAAAAATTGCTTTTATTTTGCTCGTGAGCTACAACTTCGCTATTAATTTGTGCGTTTGCAGAGTTAGTTGTGTAATTATCATCAGTTGTAACTTTTTCGCATTGTTCTATTATTGATCGAACACAAGCAACTTTATGATAACCTTTCATGTGATAAACTATGTCCGTGGTAATCCTCTTACACAGTACACATTTTATTTTTTCTTTTTTTTTAACTTCTTTCAATACACTTTCCTTGGATATATCTTTAGTCACCAGTACTTTATTCGTTGTACTATTGACATTAATTGTTTGCTGGGGACAATTTTCATTTTCTGGATGCTCAATGTGTACTGAATTTGTTGATTCAGTCCTACTTAATGATTCATTTTCTTCAACTATCTTACAATCACCCTTATTTACACTGCTATTATCTGCAATTGGAGTATTTTCAACTTGAAAGTTGGCCTCTCCACGTGGTTTATATACTCTTTTTGGATTCACGAAAATTCCATGTTTCTCGGTAGCATGTTGTTTCAACTGTATACTATCGAAAAATTCTTTTCCACAGGTAATACAGTAAAATAATTTTTTTTTACTTTTTACTGAAAATCTAAAATCGGGAACAGATTTACTGGCATTGATTAGTAGTGGCTGAAGTGACGATTCGTTTGGTGATGCCGAGTCTTTTGATGCAATGTACTGACAAGAAGTATCATCATCATTATCATCACAAAAAGAATTCTGAACATTTTTGATAAGCTGTAGTGTTTCCCAAATTTTATCACAACTTTGCAATTTAATTTGCGCTTCCTTAAAATTATGTTTTTCTTTGTAATAATCAGTCAATTCCTTTATTCTTTCTTCACTAGAATCCTGGAAAACCCAAGGTTAATGTTGTTACTTGCACAAAGTCAAGTGCATAGTCAAAAGTTTCAAGAAGAAAATAAAAGAGATAAAATGAGATGAGAAGTGGTACAAAATTATTATGAGATTACAAGGTGAAAAATGATTGCAAAAAAATAAGTAAGACAGTTTGACTCACAAGAACATATGATGGCGGGGAGACTGCCCGCTGCATGACGACGTCGCTATCTTCGGGAAAGGTTAGGTCAGCAAAACTTTCCTCGATGTCAGCTTCATCATCATCATCAACATCTTCATCGATAACATGACCTTGATGGTACTCAAGATCAGCACTAGCATCAGTGACTATGGGAACGGTGGTGTCATCTTCGTCTGTGGTAGTGGTAACAACACCCTCGTCCATGACAGCAGAGTCCTCACCCATTGCTGCAGCAGTATCAGTAGTAATAGCAGCTGCAGCAGTATCACCAGTAATAGCAGCAGCAGCAGCAACAACAGTACCGTCCTCATATGTGGTAATAGCAGCAGCAACGGATGAGGGGTCCTCGTCCATTGACTCCAAAATAAGGTCTTCATCTTGATGATCTTCTGGTTCTTGTTTGATAACAAGTTTGTCGCTCACCAAGAAGGTAGTGCTGCCAATTGTCAGACCACCATCCGGCTCTGCATCATCAGCCATCCTGATGATGTCTATAACTTTTATTTTCTTATTGTATACACTAAACCCTTACTCTTTTTTCACTGCAATGAAACACATCATACATAATATGGGTATATTCTGGGTATCCTCTTCGTTCTTTCGGTTTTGGTAATTGTAATTGTAATTGTTTTGGTAATTGTTCCGTGTGGTGCACGTGCACTTCAACAAGATGATGATTCACCACAATCCATTTCCGATCTTAACGGAACTTAAATTATTGGGAACAACTTATAAGAGGGATCCCGGTTGTGAAGTATGGCGTCTATTTTGCCATATCACCAAAACCTGTTGGAAATCATATAAAATGTATGAGTAATGTAAGGTACATTGGGTGAACCCATTGTATTTAAGGTGTACGCGTATAAGTAATTGAGTACAACATAAGTACAAGTAGTATAGATACTTATACAATACCTGTACAGGTACATGACTTCCTAGACTCTAGCCAGACTCCAAACAAAAGTTGGAGGCCTCTCGGAGAGGAACCCGGAGCACATTTTATTCAAGTGTTGAAGTATAGGTATAAGTGAACTTATTACTTTTGCACTAAAATCTATTGCGAGCGCCGAGCACGAGTTAGCACGACTTCCTTTTACACACATGCATGTTATATATGCAGCTGCTCTGTTCCTTCTGACCCTTCTGCTATTCTGCTCACATAATATAATAGGTAACAAAACAACTATAAATGTATAAAACCCCTGTACCTATATATAGGTATACCAATATATATGATAAAAGTTGGCGTCGCAAAAATCACCAACACACAAAACCTCTACTATAGTCTACTTCTGCAGACTGCAGACTGCAGTATATAGTGCATAGCAGTGTATACTCTGCATTGTCTACTATATTATAGATTCGTTCGGGGTTTAGCTTAGCAGCACTCGGACCGCTCCTTTTTCTACCCTATAGTCACTGTGTTGAAGTGATTACATTGACTATAGAAAAAAGGAGCTCCGAGCTGTTCCACGCTAAACCCCGAACGAATCTAATAGCAGCTGTGTACACTGTACAGTACAGTCCAGTGACACTCCAGTCCTCCAGTCTTCAACTCTCCACTCTCTCCAGTGACTGGAGTCCAGTCCAGTCCACAGTGTGCATACAACGCGCACAATCTGTAATATATACAAATAATACAGAGTAACTCTGTCCAGTTTATGACAGAGTGACGACTCACTGACGAGTGACAGACAACCGAAATGACATGGCACATGACGATTTGTGTATATAAACCTTCTGGTCTATGTTGACTGACGATTTTCTTGTTTGAGCCACATGTAGAAATAAAAAAAAAGTAATTATTGAATTTTTGAGAAAAAAAATATTTGAAATTCTTTTTACAAAAGTACTTGTTTGTCATGTCCAGTAGTATACATGTAGGACATATTTATACGACAAGTATATACTTGCATCTTATAGTGCACTGAAAAAAATTGATCACTGTAAACTTATATTATTAAGCTAGAAATTTTATGATCGGTATATCATAAAAATACCTATACAGTACATAAATTGAAAAATTGAATCTCTTGATTACCATTTTTTGAAATGTACCGATAATAGGACCTAGAGTGCAGATCATATTAAATAAGGTGCAGTACTTACCTATTTGATTATATATAGCTATTACATTCAAGACAAATTGGAGTATCGATCCAATAACTGTAGATCATAAATATCTGACTGACGCATGACATCGCGACCAAATGCTGTCGTCCTATTGAGATTTGAGATATTGAGGAACAAAATACACCTTTATACTGCTTATAAGAAGACGCATGTTGTACCTATATAATTATAGTGTACATGTCATCGTACTTGTGTAATCAGTGCACGGCTTTAAAAATTTGAATTGACATTTTATGATAATCTTGATGTAACGAAAAATTAATTTTTCTGATGTAGAATAAGTGCCAAAACTTCATTCGCGGGTTTGATGTAGCGTGTACCTACTTTTCTTGGAGAAAAGGACCCAAATGCATTTACACGCTTTCCAAATTGTTAAGGCTTGCTTTTTCCTGATCTTATTTTAATAATTACCGTACGTACGTACGTACATGTGTATTTGTGCAAAATTATACATATGACAAAAACTATTTCTCAATAAAATTGTTGTTTAAATATATGTTAGAACGGCGAACAGTGTATCATGTATGCATAAATCGGGAAACTCCACACATTTCATTTACCCGAATCATCTCGTTGCAATCCGCTTTTCTACTTTCAGAACCGTCGTCCCTATGCTTTAAACAAGATTTCAGGTTTATACAACAACAAAATGATTACGAAAAAACTTAACTTTATTAAACAATTTTTTTTACAACAGTAATAATTTAATAAATACGAATATAAAAACATTGTACAATTGGCACCCTTTGGATCGTGAACAAGTCGAATTACTGTAATTGAAAAAAAATTTCACCAATTAAAACATAAAATTTTTCAAGTTTGCCTTGGTTGAAGTTTAATTTTATGATATTGTTGTAAATACGTGTAAGCTAATGTACACACTACTGAATGAGTAAACATATGGATTGCCGACTAAAGTTCTATCATATGAAATGAAGTAGAGAGTTGAGCGAAATATTAAAATATACAAGCAATTAAGTAGAAATTGAAGCACATGTATAGAAATTATAAATGACAGTAATTGAGAAAAAAAATGAGTGTAAGAATATTGATGCATTTGTAAAGTCTAAACAATTAGAAGTAATAAATGTATGCATCGTGAAGAACAATTAAGTAGTATTTCTAAATAAAAGCTGGTTGTGGGCATGCTGATGATGAAAAAAATGTTATAACCATCCACCATAGCGTTGCAGAGTAAATGTTTGTTTCCTAACTTACTTCTTTCCCTGAAATATTTACAAAAAAATCATAATATACTTTACATGCAAAATAAATAAACAAAAAACCGTTGAAGAACTTTATTGTAAGAAAACAATATAGTTATATTTAAACTACCTTCTCTTGTGGTGTTGATGTTATTTTTTTTTACTACCGCGACCGAAAATAGTACTTTTGTTCCCGCAGAGAGAGACCAAAAATAATACTTTCAGTGAAAAAATTGCTTTTTTATATACCTATATATTTTTGGCTTTTTATACTTTACGATTTAGTTACAGAATATATCAGTCATATTTATCACCTAAGCTTCAAATATGTATAAACACTGAACCGTAATTTTTTATTTATTTTTTTAATATAAATTTTCTTGTAAAGATATTTTATATTTAAATTAGTTAAACCATCTAATTGGAATAATTGTAATAGTTCATCAAGTATAGATAGATATTTGTTTACAAGCATTCAAACCAAATTATGAAATCGCGTCAAAATATCTGAATGATAGATAATAATTACATTATGTACATAAATATTTAAAAAGTTCATTCAAAACATAAAGTGAAAGATGTAAGCATAGAACTTGAAAAAATATAAAAGTATTTGATAAGAGTAGACATGCTTGACAATGTCGTGATTGTAGAACATTAATTCTTCTGTTACTACCACCACCGCTTTATGATAAACAATTTTTATGAATTTATGAATGCCACACAAAATTGGGATGATTATTATTTTTACCTTTTTGGAAGAAGCTCCCACTTTTGTTTTTTTGGTTCCCCTGACTTTTTTCATTCTGTTCTTTCGTTCCTTTCTCTGCTTTCTGGTTTGTTTTTGTTTTTCATACAAGCTGTGTCGTTGCAATCTGTACTTTGGTTCAAATTTTTTGGCATAATCCAAGGTATCGTAAATCAGGGCAAACCCCGTGGATTTTCCACCTCCGAAATTCGTTTGGAAACCGAAAACGAAAACCACGTCTGGCGTAACTTTATACATTTTGGCAAGCCTCTCGCGAATTTCGGTTTTCTTGACTGACGGCTGACCCGCATGTAAAACGTCGACAACCTTAAGATAATCAAACAAATCACATTTAACTTTCGGGATGAAAATATGTGTAACCATTGCGACAAAAAAGATCGATTCATGTATATACACTATGATAAATGGTGCACCTACCATTTGTTTTCGGCAAAGTAGTCTATTGGTCATGAATTTGCGGGTACGAATTGTGGCCGACTGAAAAACCATTTGTTTATTTTATAATTAAAAATTATTAATTAGCTCATCAGTGAAATTGTTGCGTTGGTCGGATCGTGCTATTATCGGGAACGGTTGCAAGCAAACTGTATATAGGAGCCGGGACATGCCATATCTTGAGAAAAAAAAATTGATTTAGAATCATGTTGAAAACCAATGAAGTAGTGAAAATTCCGAAGAAACGTTGATTTTTCTTTGAAACTGTTTTTCATGATATTGGAATTGTAATTCGTCGAGCCTTAACCTTCGAGGTTGTAAGTAACCCCGATCGTCAAAAGGGATGATATGATGTCCATTTGGAGAGTACAAAGTATGAAATGTAATGTATATTGAAAAATGAAGCTTCAGGAATGGGTTTTCTAGCAAGATTGCCCTAGTCTTTGAAGCGATTAATTATTGCTTTAGGGATTACAATTACTTACCATTTTGCGTTGCAATATCGCACAAATTAAAAAAAAGATCTATTCTAATTAACCTTAAAGCCGTGCATGGGACCGTATAATGATCATGACCAGTGAGACTTGTTTGGTGACTGACACGTACCATGTCTGATGTCTACTGTGAACTGTAAGTATAGCTATACTAGTATGCACATATTCGCCAAATTCGGTTTGTCTTTACACTGACTACACGGTCAACAATAGTCACTGACTGTATGCCTATATAAAATATAGGGTTTGGCCGTGGTACTATCTTTTGCTGATTGGCTGTACCATTTTGCACTAATTTAAGCACCAATTTACGAAATTTGATTTTTGTAACCTATACGATTAGTATTTACATATATATAGGCTCTTCGACGCCAGTGCCATTCACCTCTAGTTCTATTTTAAAGCATTCCTTAATAAAAATTTGAAGCTGTCAATGGGATCTAAATTATCTAAACTACTCGTAACGTATTCGCATATATGTATATATACGTTTTGAATACGTACCTACCCACAAGGTAAATGTAAAAAATGTAGAAAAATCTGATGAATTTTTTTTTGCATGCACTCAACTACTTACAGTTAAAATCCCAATAGCGATCCACATTTTTTTTTCTCTCGGTAATTACCTGTTATCGTAATTGTCAATCAACATCATATATTGTTCATTAAGCTGTGCGTATTCGTATTAACAGTGTTGAATTTGAAATGCGCGCTGCAGCAACTGGTGAACATTTCATACGAAAAAGAGCGGCCGCGAATTATTGTTCAGAGCCTGTCTACAATAAAAGTGCCATGTACCGCGTACGAGAGAGATATATAGATATGAAATTCAATGAGTGGGACAAAGACGAAATGTCATTCGTACACACTGCCAATCAGGCAAATATTCCCCAATTGTAGGATCTACCTTCTTTCAGTGCTCTTTCCTTTTCTCACTCGACTTGGCACTCATTGGCTAGAAACCAAATAGACCAACCAATAAGAAACGACGCTTCTTCTGATCACTCTACAATTGGATCAAGCACTGAGAGAGATCTAGCGAGAAGAAAGAGTAACATTTCCAGCACTCGTGTCGCTGTGTTTTTTGCACCCTCGGTATTCGCTCCGAGCCGATACAGAGGTTGCGCCCCCTCTAGCCAAAATCAGGCAACATTTCTTGCATGTAAACAAACGGTTTAGAACATATATACACACGTATAGCTGCTTGTGATTGGCTGAATAAGACAGCAGGAGAGGATCGTCGTTCTCTCTCTAGCTTGCCAAGTGCCAATCACAAGCAGCTGTACGTATGTATATATGTTCTAAACCGTTTGTTTACATGCAAGAAATGTTGCCTGATTTTGGCTAGAGGGGGCGCAACCTCTGCATCGGCTCGGAGCGAATAAGCGATTATATTTGTATGTAGCGAAAATGGCGTCAACAAGCCACCGATTCGCTTAGCCACGCCTCAATGTTCAATACCGAGCGGGAGGAGCAAAAAAGGCCAGAGTGTACACACACATATACGATACATATATGGTGTAGGCGCCGTGAAGCAGATGAGTAGCAGAGAAAAGGGGGGGGGGTTGGGGGGGGTTTGAGTTTGTGTTGTGCATGCGTGTGCAATGTGTACAGACACGCGCGCTATGGTCAAAGTTCCACCGGGGCTAGTAGAGCTGCAGTAGCAGCGGAGTAGAGCCAACGTCGCTGTCGCTCGTCGCGCGAGAAAAGAGAAAATGGCGTCGGAGTTATGGGAGTGTCAGCGTCAACCGACGCAGCATCAGCATCCTTTGGAAGCGGAGCGGCGTAGGCTCGAAGAGCTCAAGGACTCCCAGGAAGCCCTGTCAGCGGTCCGGCCCAGCCTTTGCTCACCCGTGCCACCAGGTACCCAGAGCCAATTCGTTCTCCTCCCTTATTTTTACCCCACCCCCCCTGCCCCAGGCTGGCTGGTTTCCTCCCCCCCTTTCTGGTCATCGAGTGGCCCAGCAGCACTGCGGCGGTGTCGACGCCAACATGGCCGCCGCGCTGGCTCGAACGCCCCCCCCGTGCCGTTCGTAGCCTCGACGTCGTCCCGCGCTCGGTATCCGAGGCGCCATGACAGTATCGAAACTCGCTGACGTCGCTCCAAGCTGATCACTTTTCTGGCTCTCAGCCGTGGGCCGTGGGGTTACGAATATGAGTCGGATCGCGATTGCGCGCGCATCGAGTCCATTGGAAATTCAGAAATCGGAGTCGAAAAGGACGAGAGCCGTATATCGTACATCCTCTGTACTGCTACGTTGCATGTTATTTATGTTCGTACACCTGTACTTGGAAATTTAAATGCCGTTCCGCTTCCGGTGTTTTTTCTGATTTTTTCATCTATCGAATTAGTAGGAAGGTGATACGCGATAAAAATGCAGTTTTCAATTTTTTTACCAACGAAAGTTATAATTTTTCGTATCTGGTAATGTACGTTGCCAGGGCAAGCACGATTGGGTGTGCACCAGGTGTGAACTCTATTTTGCAGTAAACTCGGAAAGTAAATGTACTTAAATGCCCTAAGTAGAAAACAGGATTCTTGATTCTCGAGTATCGATATCTTGGGCCTAAGCGCCATAAAGGAATCGGACTCAGTAACTCATGTTATTGTGCAGCACTCAGGGATCGGACTTGAAGCGTCTGTACTGCGCCTTATTCACAAAAACCTCCAACTATTTGTTATGCTCACGGTTGAGAGCGGATTGAACTTTTATTCTCACGTAATTGTAACCTGAACTAAGTAACTAGAACTTATTTAATTTACACACTTCGCTCATTTTTTTATCAATATATGCGATAAAGAAAGGGTCATATTATGGTCTCGCAGCTATCGTTTCCCAGCGTTGCAAGCGCCTGTGTCGTCTGCTTGTTTGTAAACACGGGGCGCGCTCTGTTGCTGTTGACAGTCAAGTTTACTTCAGTATATATATATATANAATTCGAGCGAGCGCGGTGTTAATTATGACGTGACCGATCGACGTGTTATATATATATATATGTATGTATGATCGTGTATACCATACACACGTTCAATTCACGCTTATTTTTAAATTACATCATATCGAAATCGTTTCTTCGTTATCACATGAGCATAAGATATTTAGCCATCTCATGGTATAGAAAACGATCGCAAGTATATTACGGAAATACTTGTGAGTGAATTGAACTTGTTAATGTAAACAGTGTAACCAAATAATTACTTAATTTTATAAACATCCATCTATTATGGTATACAACACACCGTAAAATGCCGAAATAGCGAATTACTACCGTACTTAACTCTCCGTGTCTCCAATTTTTCTCATGAAATGATAGATGAAATTTTCCTACAGGTGCAGCTGGTGACAAAGCTGGATGTTCAGAGCCGAATGACTATGTCCAGTCTACTTTAGCTTTGTCAGAATTGACTAATTCTTCCATAACTCCGACTCAAACAGATTCCCTGAGCGATGATACAGGATTCCCGTAAGTCTTGAGATAATTATTATTTGTAAATATTTTTTATTAAATGGTATCTTGAGATCATTTTTATTTAATAAAATAACTTGCTCTTATATGTATATAATTCATAAATATAACTCACATATTTTGTTATTAATTAATGCATCACTAATTACTTGTAGGTTGGACACCGCAGACGAGAAGGACGAGGTATCATCAACCATTTCAAATCTGTCTGACATCTCAGGAATTTCCATGTTATCCGAGGATGGTGACGACAACGTTGAATGGAGAAATGCATCCTCATGGGTTCAAAAGCAAATACAATTGGGAACAGACCCCAGAGATGTTCTCAAGCTTCTTTCTTCGGACTCAATTCCCATACCTGAAGAATTGGACGATATCACTCTGTGGAGGGTTCGCATATATACATATATTTGTGGGATGATTAAAGTTGTTACTCTATTGAATTAAAACAGCTTACTTAAACTTTATTTTATTTTACAGCATGTCATAGATATAATGTCAGAACCACCAAAAAGACAAAAACTTTCCCACTTGAATACTATTTTGGACGTTGTTGAGTTGATCAAGAAAAGTAAAAACATTATTGTCCTGACTGGTGCTGGAGTTAGTGTAAGTTGCGGTATTCCTGACTTTCGAAGCAGAGATGGTATTTATTCGAGACTAGCTCAAGACTTTCCTGATTTGCCTGATCCTCAGGTACGTGTACTGCTGCTTTTGTTAAATTTTTTTTCCGTATCTTGTTATTAATAAAAAAATTTTTTCTCAGGCAATGTTTGATATTAATTACTTTTCACAAGATCCAAGACCATTTTATAAGTTTGCACGTGAAATCTACCCTGGACAATTTAAGCCAAGCCCATGCCATAAATTTATAAAAATGCTTGAAAAACAAAATAAGCTTTTGAGAAATTATTCACAAAATATTGACACCTTGGAGCGAGTAGCTGGTATTGAAAATTTAATCGAATGTCATGGTAAGCCGCAATTTTTTCATTTTTTGCATTCATACTGACATGCATGAATACAATTATCTGATGTTGTAGGCTCATTTGCAACAGCATCGTGCACCAAATGTAAATTTCAAGTGAAATCAAACGATGTAAAAGACGAAATCTTAGCTCAAAAAATTCCAATGTGCCCAAAGTGTCAAAGTCAGTCTGCAGCACCTATGGATAAATCGAGTATCGATGAAAATTACCGAGGTATATTATGCAGAAAATTATTTACATTTCAAAAATTATTGGAAACTTAGAAACAGCCAACATTAGATAAAAAAATTTTTAATGAATTGTAGACCTAGTCGCTCAAGGAGTTCTGAAACCAGACATAGTGTTCTTTGGAGAAGGCTTGCCAGATGCTTTTCACGATGCCATGGCTAACGACAAGGATGTCTGTGATCTATTGATTGTCATTGGTTCGTCGTTAAAAGTTCGACCTGTTGCGTTAATCCCTTCGTCGATTCCTCATAGCGTCCCACAAATCTTAATTAATCGGGAATCGCTTCCTCATTTGGAGTTTGATGTTGAACTTTTAGGAGATGGTGATATTGTGATTAATCAGCTTTGTCATATGTGAGTGTTCCTTATTTTGCACTAATTTTTTTTAAATATTAGGATTAGCTAACAATTTCATAATGATTAAATTATATTTGTGAAATAAATAGGCTGGATGGAAATTACAAAGAAGTGTGTTGGCGCGATACTATTTTAGAAGAGGCCCCTAGCTTACTACCATCATTAACTGATTCTTGGGAACAAAGTCAAGATACTTTAACAAATCAAGAGTATTCTCAAGATAGCGAAGCGAATGTCGAGCAGGATAGTTTTTCACATAAGTCCACATCAAAGAAGGAAATAAGAATATTTTCACGAGACGAACGAGACGATAGCGAAGTGTTTGAAGGTCGCAAATGGAAAAAATTTAAAAGTGACTCTGATTTTAAAGAAGTCGAGTGTGAGTCAAGTTCTTGTTCAAGGTTTTATTCAAATTTCGTTGATGACAAGTACGAAGAAAAGAAAAACACCTTAGATCAGGAAAATGAAGTTAAATGTAATTTAAGTTTGCACAGTGGTAGTAACAGCAACAGTAGTAGTAACGACGACAGTAATAGCAGTAGCCCAAGGAATTACAACATTGAGCATAGTGAAAATGATAAATTTTCGGAAAAAGAATTCTGGGTGAAAGATAATACTGATAGAACGTTGAATAATGAAAGTTATGATGGTAGAAAAAACTCGTCATTTCATTCAGAATATGTGAAAGATAGCAGGAAAGATTTCACTTTCATTGAACAAAAACAAATAATTAAATTAAACTTTGCTGAGAACTCAATAAGGCATGATGGCAATAGTGGTTCAAAATCGAATCATAGTTTAACGAGAGAAAGCTTATTGTTCAGTCCCGACGAGAGCCCAACAACGTCTTACGAGTCATTAAGAGCAGTAGAGGAAATATTTATGTCTGATGAATGTCATGTTGTTCCAAGGATAGATTGTTTAAGGGATGACTCAACTTTAGAAGAAAATCCAGATCCCTGCAAGTCTTCTGACAAAAGTGAATTAAAACCACGGCATACATCGATAGATTCGGTAATGGATTCAGCTCTAGGCGACAGTTGCAGCAGTTCTGACTGTCAAAAGGGGAAAACTGATGGCGATAATACCGATGAAAATAAAAAATCTGACAGTCACTCATGGCACCTTGTCAATAGAGACAGCCTTGCTTCCCGACTGCCAGGTAAGAACTAATCGAACGAAACTTCTAACCAATAATAACGCTTACACTTTATAAATTAAATTAATTTTATAGAAAATTCGTTCTACCAAATGAAATCTGGAAAATACATATTTCCTGGTGCAGAAATTTACACAAACTTTCCGTGGAATGAGGGAGTACTCCAAATCGGTGGTTTAAGATCGGCACTTACTGCCTCTCAGCTTTGTGAACATTGATGATGATGAGTTGAGCGTATTAATGTGTCAGACATACACCCACACATGTGGATACACTAAGAAACTTTGAGAAACAAATATAAAGGTAGGTACTAAAAATCCATAATAAAAATTGTTAATTAGCTTTTTAATAAATACTTCGGCTCCTTCAATTGTACCTGTTCATTTTGTTTTAGCAGTAGTAGTTATTTTGCTACTCGAAAACTGCTGTAAATAAGACTGAAGCCAAAGGGACAAGTATATTTTCAGTGAAATCCGTAAATGGAAACACAAAAAAAAACATTCAAGTGTTTATTCGAGCAGGATTGTATAATAATAGGTAAATTATTCATAAGTGATTGTTAAGTCATAATTGAAAGTGAGATGTGTTAAAAAAATTTTATCGTTAAAAATAGACTTGTAAGTAAAATAGTTACTTGATGATAAAGTAACTAAAAGTGTCAGGTGAGTTGTGAGATATCGAGCATATCGCTTACACTAAACCAGCGTACAAACTAGTACTTTTTCACTGGCCCTATTACGAGCCCCAGTGCATCGCGTTCTTCTGCGACTCTGCATTGGCAGTACCGTATATGATGTATACATAGTTAATTAATTGGATACACATTCATGCGGTTTACTCAATTTTAGTTGTTATTTTCTAGAGAGCAAAAAATTATCCAAACACAATTTGATCTCGCTAATTATTTCAGATTTTTAAGCTGATTATTGTTTAAATTATTTAACTGTGAATAAATTGTAAATATTGAATTTTCAAGTTGCTTCTGCTTAGCAGCTCCACTTATCGACATTGTCTCATCTCCTTTGGTGAGTGCCTGTTTATTAGGATAATTTTTATACAGGCACAGTCACTTGCGTGACTTGAGATTATATTATCGCTATCATTGTACATGTACATAATCGTGAATTTTATATGTATTTCACTCATTGGCGTCATGAAATCAATTGCGTCCAGAGCAAGTATAATTTTTAACATTTTAGTTTATTTCTGCTCTTTAAGCTCATGTAGTTGTATGACTATTATTAAGCACGTTAAATATTGTAAAAAACATATATGATGTCAAGTTTTACTGAGGATGTAAAACGAGGGTGTAATTTAAATTAACAAGACGACTGCTTGGTTTGAGCCGAGGAGTTTGACATTATTGTACATTAGCTAGTCCTTTAATTAATTTCATCATGATTACTTAGCTTTTTTGTTGAGAGCAAAAAATGAGCATTATTCCCCTTAACCATCTGCAGAGGAAACAGCCTAGATTTAAATGGAAGCCGATGCTTATTTAAGCCATAATCGTTATTGGAAACTAGTGATACTTATTTATACTTGATTACATGAAATCAAACTGTCATATAAAATAGTTTAAAAAATCAAAAACAAATTTTGTGCTTCAATCAATTTGTTTTGAAAAAAATTTATTACAATTCAAAATCAAAGAGCAGTTTGATAAGCTACAAATGGTTTGATAAGTTGAGCTTTCAGTTTTCATTGGAGCACGGGTGAATGTACAAAGCATTGTGGGAAGACTACGCATTGCATATTATTTTTTTACAAAAAAAAAAAAAACTTAGCATTATAATTGTAAAAAAAAAAAGATTGAGTAATACTTTTTGACGTGTTCATAATTTATATGTGCTTTATATGTTGATCTTTTAACGGAAAATTTTTAAACTGAATTCTAAAACCGTTTTTGCTCAAAAAACACTTAGGTTGTGTGTATATATCACTTTGATATTGGATAAATGCAAATAAATACAGTTATCCCCAGAAACTTAGAATTTCTAGATGAATTCAAATCAACCTAAAAAAAATCTTTATCAAATGAGTATAAAACAGTGTTTAATAAAATACAAACTACGTGTTACAACTCTTGTAAAAGAAAACAAAATCAAAAAATATTATTCGACATACCTAATATTATCGAGTGCGAGAAAAGAAAGTGTTACGTTATGATTTTTTTAAAAGAAATGGTTATCTCAAATTTGTTCGAAAAAAGGCTCTATTTAAAAAATGTGGCTTTTCTCAGTTTTTGGGCCTCGTTACTGCTGTTCTGTTTAGAATAGAAAAAAAATTGTAAAGTCACTAATATCGCTTGAACTCTTATGTTGCTTCCAGGGTGAAAAAGAAAAACCTAGTATTTTTAATTCCACCATCTGTAAAAATTTTCTAGGATACCGCTTTTACCCCTGGAAATGAGGGATGGCTCTTTTTCTAATAAATTTGAAATAGCGCTTCCTTATCCCAAAATGTAAATGTGTACAAACACATGAGCATGTATTGTAAAAACTTATGAAATCTTTTAGTATTAAAACTCTCAATTTTGTAAGACCATGAAATGAAAAACTTTGCTTTGTTTAGATAGCTTTATTTATTATCGTAATATTAATAATAATAATGATAATGATAAAATAATAACTTATAGACTGTTAAATACAATTGTTAAAAACTTTTATTTTAAATATTCGCCCGACGTATCTATGTACATACATCTCAGTAAAATTTTATTAAACTTCTATTTATTAAATCGAAAAACTACCATAACTAAATATACTCATGATACTATATCTTTTTTTCCTTATTTATCAATGCCTGCATAAAAAAAGTGAATTTCGATAAAGAGTATAAGAACGCAAAGCAAGAACAATATGTTGTAAAATTAAAAATTTGTGGGATGTTCTTAAGTATCAGCAAGATAGATTAATTAAATGAGACAATAGTAATAAGTGTCTGTCCAGTCCAAGTTTCTGTATTCTTCAAATCTGCCAATTCATCCGCAGAAGAAAAAAAATTAGATTTTAAAAATATTGACAATCAACGAGTAACTTTTGTGCACTATTGTTTAAACGTCGTTGTGTATATATTTTTGTGCTGTTTGACAAAACCGTATACACGTTACGGAAGCATGAAAAAAAAACCTGTAATTGTATATTCATTGTCAGCAGGTCAATACACACGTCAGTCTCCTCTAGGAGTTGAAGTGCATGGTGTATTAATTATGTTACGACAATTTCTTATGGTTTTGCATTTTAATGCGATACTCTAGTACAGACACTCGATTTTTAGTATATTACTTTTTTCAGTCAAGCTTATTTAGTATTATTATTATTATTATTATTATCCAGATCCCTGCAAGTCTTCTGACAAAAGTGAATTAAAACCACGGCATACATCGATAGATTCGGTAATGGATTCAGCTCTAGGCGACAGTTGCAGCAGTTCTGACTGTCAAAAGGGGAAAACTGATGGCGATAATACCGATGAAAATAAAAAATCTGACAGTCACTCATGGCACCTTGTCAATAGAGACAGCCTTGCTTCCCGACTGCCAGGTAAGAACTAATCGAACGAAACTTCTAACCAATAATAACGCTTACACTTTATAAATTAAATTAATTTTATAGAAAATTCGTTCTACCAAATGAAATCTGGAAAATACATATTTCCTGGTGCAGAAATTTACACAAACTTTCCGTGGAATGAGGGAGTACTCCAAATCGGTGGTTTAAGATCGGCACTTACTGCCTCTCAGCTTTGTGAACATTGATGATGATGAGTTGAGCGTATTAATGTGTCAGACATACACCCACACATGTGGATACACTAAGAAACTTTGAGAAACAAATATAAAGGTAGGTACTAAAAATCCATAATAAAAATTGTTAATTAGCTTTTTAATAAATACTTCGGCTCCTTCAATTGTACCTGTTCATTTTGTTTTAGCAGTAGTAGTTATTTTGCTACTCGAAAACTGCTGTAAATAAGACTGAAGCCAAAGGGACAAGTATATTTTCAGTGAAATCCGTAAATGGAAACACAAAAAAAAACATTCAAGTGTTTATTCGAGCAGGATTGTATAATAATAGGTAAATTATTCATAAGTGATTGTTAAGTCATAATTGAAAGTGAGATGTGTTAAAAAAATTTTATCGTTAAAAATAGACTTGTAAGTAAAATAGTTACTTGATGATAAAGTAACTAAAAGTGTCAGGTGAGTTGTGAGATATCGAGCATATCGCTTACACTAAACCAGCGTACAAACTAGTACTTTTTCACTGGCCCTATTACGAGCCCCAGTGCATCGCGTTCTTCTGCGACTCTGCATTGGCAGTACCGTATATGATGTATACATAGTTAATTAATTGGATACACATTCATGCGGTTTACTCAATTTTAGTTGTTATTTTCTAGAGAGCAAAAAATTATCCAAACACAATTTGATCTCGCTAATTATTTCAGATTTTTAAGCTGATTATTGTTTAAATTATTTAACTGTGAATAAATTGTAAATATTGAATTTTCAAGTTGCTTCTGCTTAGCAGCTCCACTTATCGACATTGTCTCATCTCCTTTGGTGAGTGCCTGTTTATTAGGATAATTTTTATACAGGCACAGTCACTTGCGTGACTTGAGATTATATTATCGCTATCATTGTACATGTACATAATCGTGAATTTTATATGTATTTCACTCATTGGCGTCATGAAATCAATTGCGTCCAGAGCAAGTATAATTTTTAACATTTTAGTTTATTTCTGCTCTTTAAGCTCATGTAGTTGTATGACTATTATTAAGCACGTTAAATATTGTAAAAAACATATATGATGTCAAGTTTTACTGAGGATGTAAAACGAGGGTGTAATTTAAATTAACAAGACGACTGCTTGGTTTGAGCCGAGGAGTTTGACATTATTGTACATTAGCTAGTCCTTTAATTAATTTCATCATGATTACTTAGCTTTTTTGTTGAGAGCAAAAAATGAGCATTATTCCCCTTAACCATCTGCAGAGGAAACAGCCTAGATTTAAATGGAAGCCGATGCTTATTTAAGCCATAATCGTTATTGGAAACTAGTGATACTTATTTATACTTGATTACATGAAATCAAACTGTCATATAAAATAGTTTAAAAAATCAAAAACAAATTTTGTGCTTCAATCAATTTGTTTTGAAAAAAATTTATTACAATTCAAAATCAAAGAGCAGTTTGATAAGCTACAAATGGTTTGATAAGTTGAGCTTTCAGTTTTCATTGGAGCACGGGTGAATGTACAAAGCATTGTGGGAAGACTACGCATTGCATATTATTTTTTTACAAAAAAAAAAAAAACTTAGCATTATAATTGTAAAAAAAAAAAGATTGAGTAATACTTTTTGACGTGTTCATAATTTATATGTGCTTTATATGTTGATCTTTTAACGGAAAATTTTTAAACTGAATTCTAAAACCGTTTTTGCTCAAAAAACACTTAGGTTGTGTGTATATATCACTTTGATATTGGATAAATGCAAATAAATACAGTTATCCCCAGAAACTTAGAATTTCTAGATGAATTCAAATCAACCTAAAAAAAATCTTTATCAAATGAGTATAAAACAGTGTTTAATAAAATACAAACTACGTGTTACAACTCTTGTAAAAGAAAACAAAATCAAAAAATATTATTCGACATACCTAATATTATCGAGTGCGAGAAAAGAAAGTGTTACGTTATGATTTTTTTAAAAGAAATGGTTATCTCAAATTTGTTCGAAAAAAGGCTCTATTTAAAAAATGTGGCTTTTCTCAGTTTTTGGGCCTCGTTACTGCTGTTCTGTTTAGAATAGAAAAAAAATTGTAAAGTCACTAATATCGCTTGAACTCTTATGTTGCTTCCAGGGTGAAAAAGAAAAACCTAGTATTTTTAATTCCACCATCTGTAAAAATTTTCTAGGATACCGCTTTTACCCCTGGAAATGAGGGATGGCTCTTTTTCTAATAAATTTGAAATAGCGCTTCCTTATCCCAAAATGTAAATGTGTACAAACACATGAGCATGTATTGTAAAAACTTATGAAATCTTTTAGTATTAAAACTCTCAATTTTGTAAGACCATGAAATGAAAAACTTTGCTTTGTTTAGATAGCTTTATTTATTATCGTAAT